TTCAACATTTGGGCGTGATTACTGAAAATCTAACACAGAAATCATCAGTTTGCGGTCACAAGTTAATTAAAGGCTTGTAACAATAATGGTCTGTGAGTATCTCTTCCTGTAACTGGTTTGTGAATAGTCAGGTGTATGTTTATGCATAAGTTATTAAGATTGCACATTTGATTTGTGTTGACTGTTCTTTTCTTTATCAGCAATACTAGAATATCCACCTCCCTGTTTGATTTTACGCGTTATTAATGACATATAGTTGAGATTCCTCTTTCATTTGAGTTGATTTTTTGAACATACTAGTTCATTTCCATTTTTCCAATGTAAGAAGTACCCTTTGAAATACTTCCATGCTTAGATATTGCATAAATGAAATGATATGTATTTGCTATTTTTGGTGAGAATCGTCAGAAGAAAATGAAAACTGGTATTGAGAATGTGATTGGATTAAAGATAGTTCTTTTTTTCTTAAAAAAAAATGTTGTTCATCAACATTTCCCGAGCAGTTTCATGTTGCAGAAAAAGAAATCTTGAGGGGAAATTCATCAAAATCTTTTGACCACATAGCCCAACCTCACTTTCTCTATTTTGAAGCTATACTTTTCTTATCCATGAAGACGATTGTGCCATTGGCCAATTGATAATCATAGAAGTATAGCTTCGGCTGATAGGAAGTTAGCATGTTTTCACATATCGACTCTTAACTTTTGAGTCGAAACATTCATAGAGGCATTCTTTGTTATTTTGAGGGTTTCTTCTCTAGTTTTTGTAATGTGCATGCATTTCATATATATTTTGTTCTATTTTTTTTTTCTTGTCTGGGCTAGGGGATGGTGGATGAGGTATGTTTAATGAGTATGGGACATAGTGTTGTGATGTATTTCAGGAGAGAAGGTCACATTGAAGCTGGCTCATGGAATTATAGTGAAAGTTCAATTATAACTCTTGGAAAAGTGATTGGTGCAGGCTAATCGAGTCAATGTGAGTCCCACTTATGATAGTTCAGTTCCATTAATCCTTGGTAGTACATGAATTTGTACATGAATCTTCCTGATATTATATGTGATAGTAACACTTCACCCTGTTCTTATTTTCATAATCATAAAATTAATGCGATAGACCTGATATTCAACGATATAAACTCAATTTACGGTCAGACCCTTAGACATTCATTTATAGAGTTGAATATCACATTCTAGTAGTGCAGATTACACATATACTGTATTTATAATTAATTAATCTACAAAGATTTGCTCTTTAATCTCATTTAATGCTGGTTGTGCTTAGAGGATACCCCTATGATATAAATTGTGGTGTTGGTGAAGCTATTTAAAGAATACTGATCAAAACTAGATCCTGAACCTTGACCAAGGATTGTTTCCTCTTTTAAGTTTCTTTTTTGTTGTCCACAGTTAGGTCAGAGGCCAATAGTGTTCCCTTCACATTGATGCTAATGGTCTTAAAGGCTCTGTGAGACTTTGATGCTAGACACAAGAACTTTGAGA